CAGAACTCTGGTTACCATGGCAACCGAAAGAAAAAACTTTAAAAATCTTCTTTTAAAAAACCATAAGAGCTAGAGCTTAGATATTTGGCATGAAACATCTTCTAGTGAGTGTCTACCAAGTTTGTTCAAATAAAAGCCCTGGGGTCAAAATTGGCCCCGCCCCGGGGGGTCATTGATTTTCCCTATATGCATATAGTAAAAACTTAAAAAATCTTCTTTTAAAGAACTCAAAGAGCTATGGCTAAGATATTGAGCATCAAACATGTTCTAATACGTGTCTACCAAGTTTGTTCAAATAAAAGCCCTGGGGTCAAAATTTGCCCCGCCCCGGGGGTCATTGATTTTCCTTATATGTGTATAGCAAAAACTTAAAAAATCTTTTTTGAAAAAACCCAAATAGCTAGAGTTAAGATATTAAGCATGAAACATCTTTTAGTGAGTGTCTACAAAGTTTGTTCAAATAAAAGACCTTGGGTCAAAATTGGCCCCGCCCCGGGGTCATTGATTTTCCTTATATGTGTATAGCAAAAACTTAAAATCTTCTTTGAAAAAACCCAAATAGCTAGAGTTTAGATATTAAGCATGAAACATATTCTAGTAAGTGTCTACAAAGTTTGTTCAAATAAAAGCCCTGGGGTCATAACTGGCCCGGCCCCAGGGGTGTCATTGTTTTTAACTATATGTGTATAGTAAAAACTTAAAAAAAATCTTCTTTTAAATAGCCCAATGAGCTAGAGCTTAGATGTTTAGCATGAAACATCTTCTTTATGGGCGTCTACCAAGTTTGTGCAAATAAAAAGCCCTTTGGTTAAATTGGCCCTGCAACGTTTGGGGGGGGGGGTGGGGGTTGGGGGGGGCCTATATACAGGTGAGCGACCTCAGGGCCATCATGGCCTCTTGTTTTAAGTTTGCTGCATGAAAGGTGTAATGTAAAATGAACATGTCATGAGATATAGCAACGGACCTATTCATGGTTTTTTTTGTGCAATGTGTATTTTATAACACTTGCAACAATTAATACCAACTGGTTCTATTGCATTTCTATAGTGCTAACAGGTTATAATACTGTTTAGAGATACCATAATATTATAAAAAGTGGAGATGAAAAGACCAGGGTTTTGAGGGTGAAACGTCTAGGGGTGAAACATCCAGGAGGTGTAAAGTCCAAACACCTAGAAGAACTAAACACAGTGTCCATTTATTATTCATTTATTATTTAACCTTATTCTGACAAACGCTTACTGTGACAACAGACAACAGTTTAATACAACAGTAAATTAAATATGACTAAAGTGTAACAACATAAAAGGTAGTTGTACCAAATAAAGGACATCATTACACAAATACAACATAAAGGTAGCTAGCAACCGTGGAATATATTTTTTTTTAATTTATTTTAAAAGTTTTCACATATTACTTTGCAAAATACAGCTAAAAAGCAGCAGAAATAAATAAATTTTCAATAAAATTACAATGTCTATTATTTACTGTAAAAACATCTTTCATTCAAGATAATTTACATACACAGGGCTCATCCTGGGGGGAAATTTTAGGGAGAAGTGACGACCTCGCGAAAATTAGGGAGAAGGGAAACAACCCAATGTGTATGCATTAACATGCATGGCTATACATCCTTTAATTATAATATAAACACAATTAACATCACTTATAATATTTCTCCAGTTTATTAATTAATAGTAGATTAATTCATGGTAGTATAAATTAAAAGTAGATTAATTATTTAGTAGTAGTTGTAGATCTGGCAATGGCATCTAAATGTTTTTGAGCTGCAAATATGAACATAAAAAATTATTTTTGATATCTATTGATCAGCTATTTATAAGCTTTCTCTAAATATGTGTTTATATATTTTCATGTACATTTGTTGATAATAATGTGTAAGAAAAGAAATGATGATAAAATCAATTTCATATTTTTTACGTTTAATACTTTCCTCACCTTTAAAAGAAGATGAAGTCACATTGGATATTGACTAATAATATCTGTTCTATTCTGTTCTGGTAACAGAAATATTTTACAGTGTACAAAATGTTGTAATGTCAAGATTACATGTATATGCTTATAATTATAATTATGCTTATAAAACAATTTTCAAACATCAAAAAATATGTAAAATATGTACTGTAAACATTTGTGCACATTATATTTGATCACTAAAATTACATACATTCATTTCTTATTGAAAAATTTGACTGAGAAATTGTAGAAAATTAATTTCTAATTACCTCCCTTTATTTTCATGAAACGTTAAATTCGGTAATATCTTTATAAATAATGCTTTTTAAAATTTACAATATTGATAAATCTTAATCTGAGCGTCATATTTATGACATTAAAACAAATATATATATATATTGAAACAATAAGAACACTTCTTTCCTGACAAATTTTGTTGTCATGATATACGACCGATATGTAGTTTAGCCGGGATGTCTTACCCACGTGCGTAAACTGTGTCAAATTTGGCATTTCTACAAAGAGAACAATGTCAAACACCCCCACTGTCTACAACATACCATTCGCAAGATTTTTGCGAACTGGCTTTCTTAAATTTTTGCGTAGGTGTAACTATCAGAATCAGTATTAATAAAATTGATTATTTTTAATTGACTAACAGTTTTGTGATAGCCGTGAAAAATCCATTGCACATCGCCTGTACTCGGGTTAAAAACCCACCATCGAAGTGCATCGTGTATATCAATTAGGGAAGATTGCACGTGTTTAGATAATCGGGGAAAAAACGATGTATAATTATCGCCAAATCCCTTATTAAACTCGCAAAACTATATACCGTTTCGGGCCGATGCTCTCATTATTTACTGTTTAGAGTAGGCGGTCTATCGCTTCGCTTACAGGTAGAAGGGTAGTATAAAGCGACGCTCTGATTGGATAATGACAATTAGCGATCGTCATATGGGCGGATACAATCTCTGCTCTTTACATCGCTAAGTAATTACTATTTGGGAATTAAGATTTTATCGGCGATGTTGACTTCTCTTTGATCAATCGGAAGAGCGAAATTGGAATATACACGGCGAAGTTTTCGCCTGAATCGCCCTTCCGGATGAGCCCTGCATACAGGTTCTGTACACTTGACTAGTGATAGAAAGCCATGTTAATTTAAGCAGAAACTCAGTATTTTTGCCTGTATGTTATTGTTTACAATAACCAATAAGCATTTGATCAAATGTTAATTTCCATATAATATAATAAATATATCTATCTGCTGTATAACTGGTTTACTTAATACCTAAACAATTAGAAACAAGAGCTGTAGGTAGGGAAGCAATGCTGGACTATTATTAGTGCTTGACAGTAAAAAGGCCTCGATAATGTAAAATTTTCTAAGTTAAAAAGGGAATAATTTTCCTTTAAAACCATGTTACAGTTATAGGCCTTGAAGAGAGTCCTATTATGCTCTCAAAGAAGAGTATAAAATTTCAACTTGTTTCAAAGCTAGATGTCAATAGAATTTGAAAATATCTGAGGTGGTATGCAAACTTAAATGTAAATTCTAAGTCGAAAAAAGGGGCATAATTCTGTCAAAATGCTTAGTACAGTTACCTGCTCCTGTCTACAGGTAAGGGTCATGCTGGTGAATAAGTGCACAAAGTTTCAAAGCCATATGTGAATGGACTTTGAAAATATTTGAGGTATAACAAAAACTTTATAACGTAAATACTAAGTAAAAAAATTATCTCAAAATGCTTGATACAGTCACCTCCTCCTGTCTACAGGTTGGGGTCATGATGGTGAACAATTGTGCAAATTTTCAAAGCCATATGGCAATGGACTTTGAAAATATTTGAGGTATATCATAAAAACTTCAACATAAGTTGTTACGTCTACACCGACGTTTGGGTGACTACAAAAGCTCTACTTATTTTAATCGAACAGTCAAGCTAAAATCAAAGAGTGTTGCCAAGCAGCCACAATATATTCCATAATTTTGTTTTAAATTTAACAAATTTTAAGTGCACAACTGGCTATTTGAATGAACCAGAACTTCACGAGTCGGATATGTCGCCTTGTGAACAATGTAGTTTAGGAGAAATGGCCAGAACAAGAAAATTAACAAAGGGCAATAACTCAAAAAATAAGAAGTGCAGAGCAGCATTTTCTTTGCACTATACTTCTTATCAATAAGATATATCATCCTATGAAGTTTCAAGTCCATAGCTTTTATAATTTATGAAAAATTAATAAAGGGCAATAACTCAAAAATAAGAAATGCAGATTATTGGTTCTTGTACAATGCACATTTTTTATTGAGATCTATCATCCTATGAAGTTTCATGTCCATAGCTTTTGTACTTTAGGAGAAATGACCTGGACAAAAATAAAATATGAAAATTAACAAAGGACCATAACTCAAAAATTAGGAAGTGCAAAGTACCAGTCCTTGTGCACTGCACTTTTTCTAAATGAGATCTATCATTCTATGAAGTTTAAGTCCATAGGTTTTATAGTTGAAGAGAAATGGCCCAGACAAAATTAAAGTATGAAAATTAACAAAGGGCAATTACTCAAAAATTAAGAAGTTCAGAGTACTAATTCTTTTGCACTGCACTGCACTTCGGGTTATCATATATTATTTTGTTATAAATTTCCAAATTTCCAAATTTTCAGGCATGCAGGAGATTAAGTTCTGAAAGAGTTACAATGATATCAAACATACAGAGTCTTTTTAATTTTAATATGTTCTTCCTGTTAAAAATCCTTTTTAACTGAAGGAAATTTTAGTCGCCTAGCTACCATGCAAATTTCTTTGATTTTGATGCTTCTGTTCAGGATTTATGTAAATTTTACAAAGTCATTCTACACTAATATCAGCATAAAAAATTAACTGATCTATCATTGTCATAGATAAAATAGTTTTCATATTCTAAAACTATAAAATATTTAAAACTTGACAGCAAGTACTGAAGCTTATCACTTCACATTTTATGCAGTCATTTTCAATGAGATATAGTCACACAAACAACTAAAACTGTTTATTTATCTTGAAATCAAGACTTTAAAAACTTATAAAGACAGGATTACAGTTGATCAATTCATAAAATGCATAGGTTCAATGCAATTCTATACTTAAAGTGACATGACAAATGTTGTATTACACAAAACACAATCACATGAAATGTTTTAACATTATGGAAGTAAGTTACTGGTAAGCTGACATAGGCAACCATTAATTAATATGATCCACACACTAGTCAATATAGCATTAGTCCTTATAGCAGCAGGCCTCAGGGGTTTTACTATTAAAATGACTTTCAATGGCTTTTTAGATCATTTATAAGCAGTGGGATATTGTGACCATGTCTTGATGACTGCAGGACAATACTGGCAACCTGTTGCATTGTTTCTCCACTTTCCAGAGCATGTTGAGACTGACACTTCCATGAAGTCCTAAAATACATATAAATTAGAAGTTTAAAAAAATTGTATAGGATATAAATAGCACTTAAAATGAAACTTAAAACAAGAATGTCGAACGACACATATGCCCCCTTTTCTAGCCCTTGACTCACATAATTGGTAGTTTTGTTACAGAAACTTGCCATAAATGGGTACATGGAAGTGTTCAATTATGGAAAAAAGAAAAATAATGGAGACTTTGCAGGGCTCACACTGGCTCAAATAAAATAATAGCCAATAATTTTAACTTAAAAAAATAATAGCCAAACGTTCAGCGGACTATTCACGAATTAGCGATTAACAACATAAGCAGTTGATTAAATAAACATTACATTTATATCTTTCAGTTTTATAAGGATTCTCAAAATAAACTGATACATTTGTGTATATTGATAACTACCTTTTTTAAATAGAACCACAACTTTAATTGTTATTATAGAACAGAATAAAAACGTTATAATTAGTATAATTACTGTATAACAATAATATTAAAGATTCATTATAACTTTACATAATGCTGTTATCAGACAACGTTTTTTGTTTGTTCTAATCAAATTTTGTCAGCTATAACCACTGTCAATTTCCACATTTCACACAGAACTGGAGTAGATCGAGGTCATATTAGCCTATAGAAATAACACAAGTTTGCAAACTCATTCACAGAATGCAGCCTTTTTTCTGAATAATTTACTGAAAAATATCATCATCACCAATGTAATACAAATTTTCTGCCATAGTAGTAAAGATTTTTAAACAGAACATAGCTTATTTCACCTTTAAATAAATATCAAAATTATCGGTGTCGCGAAAATATGTGACAATCGGATTTTTCCTGTTTTCTGAAGAAATATTCACAATTTTGGTTGTTGTGCAAATAGTTGTTTTGAATTTAATACTTTTTAAATATTTTACCATTGTTTTCCACTGGCGATTTAGTCAAGTAGCTTAAAACAAAAAAAAATTAAAAATTTGCAATTACTGGAATTCACGGTAAATTTTGGGTAAGTCAATATCCAGTTTATCAATTTTAAAACGATTTTTGTGGCTAATTGACGGATATTTGATGGCTATTATAAATGCTGGACAATATCTTTAAAGTACTTATACAATTATACATCTCGCATGTATTTTATCACCTCGGGCAATATAGTTAGCAGCACGTGACCGGTAAAAAGTTGACACTCAATTAAATGCACCCCGCTGGTGTTAATTGGGTCTACTACATTGATTCATTATCGATTTTTACACCTTATATAAACACTGTTGGAAGTAAAAAATAATCGCCAGATTTTGTAGCCAAAATGCAAAAATAATCGCCAATCTTGTAAAATAATCGCAAATGGCGACTATGGCGACCGACAGCGTGAGCCCTGCTTTGTGATAAATAGTTTTCAAAAGATAATCAGATATTAGAAAACTACAGACCAAAAATCAATAGGGGCCACCAATCAAAATCAGAAATATGATGACCCTGTGACCTTGACCTTTGACCCAAAAATTACTATGGTTCATCTACTAATTATGATTAATCAATATGTGAAATATGACAACTTTGTGATGAATACTTTTCAAGATAATCAGCTAAAACCGTTCTGACATTTAAGACCCCTGTGAGCTTGACCTTTAACATAGTGACCCAAAAATCAATAGGGGCCATCTACTAGTTATGACCAATCAATATGTGAAATATGACTTCTTTGTGCTTAATACTTTTCAAGATAATCAGCGGAAACCATCTTGACATTTGAAGCCTCTGTGACCCTGACCTTTAACATAGTGACCCCAAAATCAATAGGGACCATCTACTAGTTATGGCCAATCACTATGTGAAAAATTAAGAGTTTGTGATAAATAGTTTTCAAGATAATCAGCGGAAACCATGTGGTCTACTGACGGACAGATCGACATTAGCAAAACAATATACCCCCTTTTCTTCGAAGGGGGCATAATTAAGATTATTTTTAACTGAATATTCTTTTCACAACTGAAAAATACCATGGCATAAAAGAATAATTATACGAGAGGGCCATGACCGCCTCCGTGGTCGAGGGGTTAGAGTCGATGACTTCTAATCCAGTTACCTCTCTGGCGTGGGTTCGATCCCCGGGAGATGCTTTGGTAGATTAGCGCGGAGGAAGGTAGTTTAGTACTGGTGTAACTCTCCAGGAACGATGGTTAGGAAACTACCCGCCTATATGACTGAAATACTGTTGGGAAAAGGCGTAAAATGAAACAAACAAACAAACAAAACGAGAGGGCCATGATGGCCCTAAGGTCGCTCACCTGTATGTAGGCCCTCGAAGCTGGGTCAGTTTGAACCCCAGGGCTCTTATTTGAACAAACTTGGAAGACACCTATAAGAAGATGATTCATGATAATACACACTTAATGTAAAACAATGATCTGCCGTCCCCTACCCCCGGCAGGGCCAATTTTAACCAAGGGCTTTTATTTGAACAAACTTGGTAGACACCCATAAGAAGATGTTTCATGCTAAACATCTAAGCTGTAGCTCATTGGGTTTTTTAAAAGAAGATTTTTTAAGTTTTTACTATACACATATAGTTAAAAACAATGACACCCCTGGGGCGGGGTCAATTTTGACCCCAGGGCTTTTATTTGAACAAACTTTGTAGACACTCACTAGAAGATGTTTCATGCTAAATATATTAGCTCTAGCTCTTTGAGTTCTTTAAAAGAAGATTTTTTTAGTTTTTACTATATACATATAGGGAAAATCAATGACCCCCTGGGGCGGGGCCAATTTTGACTCCAGGGCTTTTATTTGAACAAACTTGGTAGACACCCATTGGAACATGTTTCATGCTAAATATCTCAGCTCTAGCTCTTTGAGTTCTTTAAAAGAAGATTTTTTAAGTTTTTACTATATACATATAGGGAAAATCAATGACCCCTGGGGCGGGACCAATTTTGACCCCAGGGCTTTTATTTGAACAAACTTGGTTGACACTCTTTAGAAGATGTTTCATGCTACATATCTTAGCTCTAGCTCTTTTGGTTCTTTAAAAGAAGATTTTTTTAAGTTTTTACTATATGCATATTGGGAAAATCAATGACCCCCTGGGGCAGGGCCAATTTTGACTCCAGGGCGCTTGTTTTTGAACAAACTTGGTAGACACTCACTAGAAGATGTTTCATGCCAAATATCTAAGCTCTAGCTCTTTGGGTTTTTTAAAAGAAGATAATTAAAGTTTTTTCTTTCGGTTGCCATGGCAACCAGAGTTCTGCATGGAATTAAATTCTTTGAACAATTTTTAAAGGTGACCACCAAAGGAACATTCCTGAGAAGTTTGGATGAAATTGGCTTAATGGTTTATGAGGAGATGTCATTTAAAGTAAAAGTTCACAGACGGACGGCCGGAAGGCAGACGGACGGACGCTGGACGAAAAGCGATCACAAAAGCTCAACCTGTCACTTTGTGACAGGTGAGCTAAAAATGTATGGCAAAGGAATACATTTGACATTAGAAAATTACAAAAAAATACCTTTATATTTATAACATTCTTAAATATTTTTTACAATATGCTCATGATAAAATATGTCAAAAAATGTTATGGCAAACTAACCTGATCCCTCTGCACAAACACAAATCGCATGGAACTTTCTTGGGGTCCTAAAATATATTGAACCAACATATTGAGAATAGGGAATTGGGATAGTGCACTTGCTGGGCATAATCCAAAGGGTAGGAGTACTCTACATCAAGAGTGCATGGTGGAGTGCCTGAAATGTACAGTAGTAAATTTATAAATTATGTATTATTGATATACAGCTTTTACAATTTATATAACAGATTTTGCTAAAGTCCCAAAGTTTTGCTGCCAATGTAATTCCTTTAATATACAGTCGAACTTCGTTCGCTCAAAGTCCGAGGGCCTGTGCAAATTTGTTCAAGAGATCGGTAGTTCGAGCCAACCGAGGTTGAACTATTATTACATAGAACAAAGGCCTCTAGGTTTTCAAACCTACATCGGTCAAATGATAAATACGTCAATATAATTGTTTGCTAGTACATTCATTTGTTGAATACGTCCTAGTTAGAATTATTATCCTATTGAAAACATATTTAACGGTCACTGTGTTAATCTATATTCATGCATATTGTAATTGGTTGGGTTCGATTGGGCAATCATTATCCAAACTGTGAACAATGTTCAAAATATATTTATATGTTTATTATGGGATGAATTTTATTTTAAACAATGCATTAATTAAATATTAACAAAAGAACATCTTACAGCAGCATATTTTTGTAGTCATTTATTAAAATAAACACACGTACAAGTATCATTCTATAAATAGATTACACTGTTACAATTCACATTACATGAACCACGGTTGTAATTAAAGCCGTCCAGGTAAACGTCATGCATTTATTGACTTTTGGCATTTCAGGGGTTATTTTCTTTTTATTATTACTAAAGACGGCAAATATACAATTTTATCATAACAAACAAATCGGTATCAACACCTTTTAATTTGTATCAGTTAACCTTAATTGCCCTTGTCACCATCACATGGTGTTAAAAACATGTGTCGCGCCTGTCAATTATTTAGAACATGTCGACATGCAACTTTTGTTGCCTGTTTGTGTTCGACCAAAAAGGTGTGATTTACACTATATTTCTTCCGAAGGGACCAGAGATCAGGTTCGAGAGTTCGAGCCATGGGTGTTCGAGCGATCCGAGGTAGAACAATATATATTTTATAGGAATTTTGCCGGGACTTGGCGATGAGTTCGAGCAAAGGGAGGTATTCGAGCGATCCAAGCTCGAGCGAACAAAGTTGAACTGTATGTCCTTTCTAGAAAGCTTGTCATAGGGCTATGACTTTTTTTTATCAAAATATTAGTTAAAATTCAGGCTTATAAAATTCATGAATGTGGTTCTAAGTGTCAACAAACATTTTGATATTTTGATGTGACATCATATGTTTATACAAACATAGTGCAAATACACAGTGTAACACTATAGATGTGTCAATGAAAAATTATTCTTTTCTGCTTGAACAGTCTGAATGCAGGATATGTGATTTATAGTATATGTTATTTTGGTTTTGGAGTGATATATGTGGATATATTACCTGTTAAGATTTTATATCACCCGAGCCGTTAGGCGAGGGTGATATTTTATCTTGGCAGGTAATATATCCACATATATCACTCCAAAACCAAAATAATAATTTTATTACCCTTCCCGTGCCGAGTTAAGACGATTTTAAAATAAATAATTGCTACTTCAAATGAAACGTCGAAATAAGATTCCCTTTAGGATACCCCTTCACCATAACATGACGTCACAAATACATGACGTATTATCTTTCGAACATAACGGATGTAAACAAGAGAAAAGGAGTAGTCTGATGAACGCACTTTTTTGGAATTAATATCAAGCTTTCACAAGGTCATATTTGTTTCCTATACTGACGAGAATATGTATCATTACTCTATTTTGGTAAATATTTATCACTTGACAGTTTAAAATTGCTTGTAAATTGGTATTTATATCGCGTAAAATCAAACCGTACGCGCATCGCACGGCGCATGTTGTTTACAACGTGGGGTACCCATCGGGGAAATTTAATGTGTATATTACCTGTCTGGCTCGGTAATATCAATTTCTTTCGGGTGATCAACATCCAATCAAAAAGGCGGAAAAAATCTGGAAGGGTAATAAAATATTATATTAGTGTAGGTTAACTTAACCTTTTACCCCATTAGCATATTGCGAAAATTGGCCGTTTTCATCGAAAAGTCCCTGTAACAAGTTCAAACTGCTGTGTCTATGAGAAATGCTTCAAATTTATATAGTTAGGACATCCTTTAAAAAAATGTTTGTTTGCAGTAACGCGTCCGACTCACAAAATTTACCCCTACTCAAAATTTCTTTTCATGTTTTCGTTCTTTTAAAGGTTAATAGAAGAAACAAAATGTAGGTCTTATTAAATTAGAATTCAGTTATCAATTAATTAATTGTTACCAGATTATCAAACCATATATTGTCCAGCATTTTGAAATTCCATGTTTATTTATTTATTAATGAATGTTGATAAGCAGTAGATGACCCCTATTATTAATTTCGAAAATTATTTATCACAAAGTCTTCATATTTCAAATACTGATTGGTGATACCTATTAGAGAACCCCTACTGATTTTGGGTCACTAGTTCTCTAATATCTCATTATCTTGAAAACTATTTATCACAAAGTCTTCATTATTTTTCAGTTTTCCATAATTGAACACTTCCATGTACCCATTTATGGCAAGTTTCTATAAAAAAAACCTACCAATTATGTTAGTCAAGGGCTAGAAAGGGGGGAATCAACTTACCTGCACAATGCACTATAACCTTATCTTCCTATGTTCTACATTTGCCAATAACACGCACACTTTACTATATCCCAATCTACCAATGTTCCAAATTTGCCAATAATGACTCTTCAACTCCACAAACAAAGCCAAACCTAAAAAGGGGGAAAAGAGCAATAATAAAGGCAAACAATGATAAATAAAGGGACTGTCACAGGAACACAACACTACACATGCCTACTACCAGTTTTTAGCTCACCTGTCACAAAGTGACAGGGTGAGCTTTTGTGATCGCTTTTCGTCCGGCGTCCGTCCGTCCGTCCGTCGTCCGTAAACTTTTACTTTAAATGACATCTCCTCATAAACCACTAGGCCAATTTCATCCAAACTTCACAGGAATGTTCCTTTGGTGGTCACCTTTAAAAATTGTTCAAAGAATTTAATTCCATGCAGAACTCTGGTTGCCATGGCAACCGAAAGAAAAAACTTAAAATATCTTCTTTTAAAAAACCCAAAGAGCTAGAGCTTAGATATTTGGCATGAAACATTATCTAATGAGTGCCTACCAAGTTTGTTCAAATCAAAGCCCTAGGGTCAAAATTGGCCCCGCCCCAGGGGGTCATTGATTTTCCCTATATGCATATAGTAAAACCTTAAAAAATCTTCTTTTAAAGAACCCAAAGAGCTAGAGCTAAGATATTTAGCATGAAACATCCTCTAATGGGTGTCTACCAAGTTTGTTCAAATAAAAGCCCTGGGGTCAAAATTGGCCCCGCCCCAGGGGGCCATTGATTTACCCTATATGCATATAGTAAAACCTTAAAAATCTTCTTTTAAAAAACCCAAAGAGGTAGAGCTTAAATATTTGGCATGAAACATCTTCTAATGGGTGTCTACCAAGTTTGTTCAAATAAAAGCCCTGGGGTCAAAATTGGCCCCGCCCCAGGGGGTCATTGATTTTTCCTATATGCATATAGTAAAACCTTAAAAAATCTTCTTTTAAAAAACCCAAAGAGGAAGAGCTTAAATATTTGGCATGAAACATCTTCTAGTCAGTGTCTACCAAGTTTGTTCAAATAAAAGCCCTGGGGTCAAAATTGGCCCAGCCCCAGGGGGTCATTGATTTTCCCTATATGCATATAGTAAAACCTTAAAAAATCTTCTTTTAAAGAACCCAAAGAGCTAGAGCTAAGATATTTAGCATGAAACATCCTCTAATGGGTGTCTACCAAGTTTGTTCAAATAAAAGCCCTGGGGTCAAAATTTGCCCCGCCCCACTGAGGGGGTCATTGATTTTCCCTATCTGCATATAGTAAAACCTTAAAAAATCTTCTTTTAAAGAACCCAAAGAGCTAGAGCTAAGATATTTAGCATGAAACATCCTCTAATGGGTGTCTACCAAGTTTGTTCAAATAAAAGCCCTGGGGTCAAATTTGGCCCCGCCCCAGGGGGTCATTGATTTACCCTATATGCATATAGTATAACCTTAAAAAATCTTTTTTTAAAAAACCCAAAGAGGTAGAGCTTAAATATTTGGCATGCAACATCTTCTAGTCAGTGTCTACCAAGTTTGTTCAAATAAAAGCCCTGGGGTCAAAATTGGCCCCGCCCCAGGGGGTCATTGATTTTCCCTATATGCATATAGTAAAACCTTAAAAAATCTTCTTTTAAAGAACCCAAAGAGCTAGAGCTAAGATATTTAGCATGAAACATCCTCTAATGGGTGTCTACCAAGTTTGTTCAAATAAAAGCCCTGGGGTCAAATTTGGCCCAGCCCCAGGGGGTCTTTGATTTACCCTATATGCATATAGTAAAACCTTAAAAAATCTTCTATTAAAGAACCCAAAGAGCTAGAGCTAAGATATTTAGCATGAAACATCATCTAATGGGTGTCTACCAAGTTTGTTCAAATAAAAGCCCTGGGGTCAAATTTGGCCCCGCCCCAGGGGGTCATTGATTTACCCTATATGCATATAGTAAAAACTTAAAAAATCTTCTTTTAAAAAACCCAAAGAGCTAGAGCTTAGCTATTAAGCATGAAACCTCTTCTAGTGGGTGTCTAACAAGTTTGTTCAAATAAAAGCCCTGGGGTCAAAATTGGCCCCGCCCCAGGGGGTCATTGTTTTTCCTTTTATGTATATAGTTAAAACATAAAAAATCTTCTTTTAAAAAATCTTAAAAGCTAGAGCTAAGATATTTAGCATGAAACATCTTCTAATGGGTGTCTACCATTTTTGTTAAATTAAGGGCCCTGGGGTTAAAAAATTGGCCCGGCCCCGGGATCATTAATTTTCCTTTTATGTATATAGTAAAAACTGAAAAAATGTTCTGTTAAAAAGCCCAAAGAGATAGAGCTTAGATATTGAGCATGAATTATCTTCTAGTGAGTGTTTACCAAGTTTGTTCAAATAAAAACCCTGGGGACAAAATTGGTCCGCACAGAGGGTGTGGGTCATTGTTTTTCACTATATGTGTTTAGTAAAAACTTAAAAGATTTTCTTAGAGCTAGAGCTTAGATATTTATCATGAAACATCTTCAAATGGGGATCTACCAAGTTTGTTCAAATAAAAGCCCCTGGGTTAAAATTAGCCCCGCCCCGGGGGGCCTATATACAGGTGAGCGATTTCAGGGCCATCATGGCCCTCTTGTTGATGCAATTACTTTTTAACCTAAAAAAATAAGCATATACCTTGCTTTAAGGCTTTTGTGTTTCCAAACGTGCTAATCTACAATAAACTTTGCTTCCCAAAATTGGTAAAAAATAGAAACTTAAGATTTTACATTTATCGTTTCGAGCAACCATCAACTATATCTTTAACAGACTGTTGGATATTTTTTATGCACACCAAATTTTCTTTCTTCAACTTTAAATTTTTTTAGAAAAACAAATGCACATAAAAAATTCAGCCCCAATACATGAAATGTCCCAGGCATTCCAATTCCTACTGAGATAGTAAGCAGCATGCCATCAACCCATTAAAATAATAACAATTTCTTGCCAAATATTAAGGCAAATGCATAATTTCTTTTTAATAAGAAAAAGTATTCATCAACAAGAAAAGCACACACATGCACAAGCACTATAAATGTTGATAGCAGCTCCAACCAAACCCATGATTTCCACAAAGAAAACAAATTACTTACCTGAACACTTCGCTATATCTGTGCCTCCCAACGCCTTAGTTGTGCCAATACCAATGCTTTAACTCCATAAACACATCTACACTTAACTTTACTTCACAAGCACATTATGCCTAAAAAAGGATAAAACAATCTATTAAATCTTAACCACCCAAACGTCCTAAATAGTGCTAAACAAAACATGTGTCACCTTTATATAAAATAACATGTGTCTATTATCAACCCAACTTTTGTAACATTTTCCTTTAATCAAGGAAAAAGCATTTCCCCACAATAGCCACACATGGCAAATTAAATTGAAATAATTTCTTCTTTCACAAATATGAAGGTAAATACCATTTTCACATGTTTGAATCTGATTTCAGGTTCCCCCCTTTTCTAATTTATTGCCCTATCTTTTCCCCTACAAAAAGTCACAGGCACTCCATGCGCCGATGTCACTTTACTTTACAATCTTCTTTTAAAGAACTCAAAGAGCTAGAGCTAAGATATTTAGCATGAAACATGTTCTAATGGGTGTCTACCAAGTATGTTCAAATAAAAGCCCTGGGGTCAAAACTGGCCCCGCCCGGGGGGGGGGGGTCATTGATTTTCCTTATATGTGTATAGCAAAAACTTAAAAATCTTCTTTGGAAAAACCCAAATAGCTAGAGTTTAGATATTAAGCATGAAACATCTTTAAGTAAATATCTACAAAGTTTGTTATAATAAACGCCCGGGGGTCAAAACTGGCCCTGCCCCAGGAGTGTCATTGTTTTCCCTATATGTGTATAGTAAAAACTTTAAAAATCTTCTTTTAAAAAAGCCAATGAGCTAGAACTTAGATGTTTAGCATGAAACATCTTCTTATGGGTGTCTACCAAGTCTGTTCAAATAAACAAATAAAAGCCCTTGGGTAAAAATTGGCCCGGGGGGGGGGGGGGGGGGTGGCTATATACAGGTGAGCGACCTCAGGGCCATCATGGCCCTCTTGTTAGGATTTTTTGTGTAAATTGAAATATGAATGTTTGTGAAAATAAAATTATAGTAGAAGACTTTGTCCTTCTGTTGTGTTTTATTTACTCGGCTTCAAGTAAATGAGGAACTTATTTAATTAAAATGATATTTGCATATTTGCAACAAGGTCTAGCCTTTGATTGCTACCGTCAAAAGGGCGATTTTGTTACAGTACTTATACAAATTTACATCTTGCATGTATTTTCATACCCTCTGGCAATAATTGAGTAACCAACGTGTGACCGATAAAGTCTTGACACTCGATTAAATCCACCCGCTGGTGTGAATGGGGTCTGCTGCATTCTTTATCGATTTTTACACCCTATATGACCACTGTTGGAAGAAAAAAATAATCGCCAGTTTTTGTAGCAAATATGCAAAAATAATCACCAATCTTATAAAATTATGGCTAATGGCGACTGACTGATTAATAAAATATAATTGTTTTATGATATAAATTATATATGATATATAATTTCAGACAGAAATGGAAATTGAATATTTCCCAAGAGGTGGCCCCATAACAGATTATGTGTGCCAAATATATGGTACCATATTGGGTGTGTCTGTCTCACGTGCAATGAAGTTTGGAAGCAGGGCATACACAGAAGAGGATGCTAAACGGTTACTTCATAAAAAATTGAAGGGTATGCTATAATATATTGTTGATTTATTTGCTTTTTTGCAGTCTATCAAATTTCTGCTTTTTAGCTCTCCTTACACATAGTGCAGGTGAGCTTTTAGGATGGCAAATTAAATGCGCCCGGCCACATTTTATTCAAACGACATCTTCTATAATACCACTCGACCAATATTAATGAGACTTGGCAGGAATACTCTTTGTATGACACTCTATCAAGATTATTCAAAGAATGTCATTCCATTAAACTCTGGTTGCTATGGCAACTAAAAGGAAAGAACTTAAAAGTTCTTATTCTTCAAAATGGAAAGGACTAGAGCTAAGATATTTCTCACAAGGCATTATAGCTTGTTGGTTTCTACAGAGTGTATTCAAATTATGGTCTAGAGTTGAAAATTGGTCTCTATTTTGGGGCTTAAATGTTTTTTTTTTATTACAAGGTTATATAGACTTTCTTTGTAGGGATAAATTGAGATAGTGTATCTCGTATTTTTTGTCTCAACAAACATTGTTATGAAAATTTTTCTGTAACAGCATTAGAAAGATGAAAAGGTTGTTGAATGTGAATGTTAATTCAAAACAGACTCGATCAGAATAGCACAAATTTGAGAGCTGCAGTGAAGTTGATTTCCCCATTCAATAATGGATTCTTCCATTAATTTCGTAACACCACCAGAAAGGTCTCATTTACGAAATAAAATGCAAAATATTTTGATTCTTGACAATGACTTACATTTTATTGTGTAAGATATTGCACAAAGAAAATGTGTAAGACATTGCACAAAGAAACGAAAGTGAACAAAAAATGTTGTATTTTGTTCACAAAAATTAGCTGATTAATATAAAAGTTTAATTTACAGTACGGATATTACTTTTCCTTCCTTCCGGTTTGCGGGAAAAATCAGTTCAACATTGTGTACACCAGTCTTATTGATGAAAGAATTATGTCAAAATATTTCATTCTGAGAACAAACATACAATTCTAATCATTAAATAATGCATATCAATCAGTCCATTCAACAACTTTGCATCTGAAAACATCTGTATCAATCTGACCTCGAGTTGAAATTATAAATATAACTAAACTGGAAGTATGACAAATTGGCCGCCTGTATAATGCACAAGGAAAATTGAGAAATTTTGTAACATAAACTCGTATTTCATAACAAAGAAATGAAGATGATGAATACAATTATTGGTGTGCTTTGTTGAAACAGGTATTTTGTAGTATTAAGGCATGACATTCAGTATTTATGTAAATATCAACTCCCGTGTTATGATTTCTAAAATTATACATCAGTACACATGTGTTATTGACCTCAATAAATGTAAGTGAAAATGGAACAATACGTATGGTAATTATCCATGGTGCTAGTAATGCTTAATTATCTTTATCATATTGTTAACTAATCAAGAAGCTTACGTAATTAAAAAATTACCTAATCTCACAAAATTATTAATTTAAACCTTACCAAATTATTCCTACGTATAGGACATGTTAAATTCAGATTAAGTACTATTGTAAATTTTTTTCCGAATGTTTTGTAAACCATTTTTTTGCATAATTATACTTATCTTATGCACTGTCCATAATTAAAAAGAGGGGCCAGATATTTAATTTGAAAAAAAAATGCTTTCACTGATGCCTACCTGGTAAGGATTGATTACAAACAACCTGTACGAAAATGCCTACCCTGTCTACACCCTGATTTGACATAGGATAAGACATTTATTCCCAGCCAGGTTTTTAAGGTATTCAGTTGACTATAGAGAAGACAGAAATCTATTTTTAGATTTTTTTGTATACCATATAATTATAGTGTTTTCAGGGTGGATTCCACAAAATATTCAAATGAGCCAAAAAAAAAGGACTGGTTTGATTTTGGGAAAATGTTCATCCTAACGGCATTTTTTAGTACAAGCAGGTAGTTGAGCTTACTTACCTATTTTGAGTACGCTGAATTCATTTTTTGCTCTACCAAGGCTGTATTTTTAGTCCTTTACCTTTAAAAATCAATTTCAAAATGACCGCCATTGAATTTTTTAATTTTACTTTAATTCTCCCATGGGCGAGATATATACACATTTTGTGGCATTTTAATTTAAGGCTTTGTTAATTTTAGTCTACTGAAGTGTGGACGAGAAGAATAGATGCAAAAACAATAAAATTTATTGCGGCAGCCATCTTAGATTTCAAAATGGCGGACAATTTCCTATGTTTTATACACTGTATTATAATTAAAGTAAACAAGCACAAGAAGGCATTTTACTAGGCATGTTTTCTTTTATTAGAAGTGCAGTGATACTTATTAAGACTTCCAAGCGAAGACTTTGAAAAACATCCATTAAAACTACAAACTTAATGGTGCAAAAAGGTCACAATTTATACCCTAATACAACGTAAATGAGAGTCATATTTGCGTTCACTTTTGTCATTTAGATGTTTTTTATACTTCTAAGAATACAATGCATGTTCTTTAAATTGTTGCGATGTTTTTTCAAAACTATCGTCCCGAGGGGGGACCTGCTCAAATATCTGTCCGTCTGTCTATCTGTCCGAGCGTCCTCTTGTGTCAGTAAGGGTCATTTGCGATCACAATTTGGCTTTTAGATTAATTCCGTATACCCCGACCTATAGGATGAATCATTGATTATAAGAGACAAAAGGCTGCTTTTGGAGTAAGAAACAAACATGAAAATAACTAGGGCTGGGGCGAGTATCCGAGTACTCGAATAATCACGAATCAAAGTGAAAAATCGAGTTTGAATATTCGTAAGCCCAAAGATCGTGTAACGCGATCTAATTTTTAGCTCGACTTTTCTATGAAAAGGGGAGCTATCCTACTCGCCCCGGCGTCGGCGTCGGCGTCGGCGTCACACCTTGGTTAAGTTTTTCGTACCACCCCACTTTATTTCCGAAGTATTACAAGTATGGCTTTGAAACTTACCATACTTGTTCACCATCATAACCTCCATCTACAGACAAGAGTACATAACTCTGTCAAGGTTTTTGACAGAATTATGGCCCTTTTTTGACTTAGAAAGTGTATTGAGCTTGGTTAAGTTTTTTGTACCACCTCACTTTATTTCAAAACCATTGGAGGTATTGCTTTGAAACTGACCATACTTGTTTACCATCACGACCTTCATCAACAGACAAGAGGACATAACTCTGTCAAGGTTTTTGACAGAATTATGCCCCTTTTTGACTTAGAAAATACATTGAATATGGGTAAAATCCACTTATTGCCTTAACCCTTTGAGATATTGCTTTGAAACTTTTAATGCTATTTCACATCATTACCCCCATCTGTACGCAAGAGAAGGTAACTCTGTCAAGGATTTGTTTTAAAAATTAAGGCCTTTTATCGACTTAGAATCTTGGTTAAGTTTTTAGTACCAGTCCACTTTTTGACTGAACTGTTTGAGATATTAATTTGAAAGTTGGAATACTTGTTTACAATCATGATTCCCAAACATGTCCAGGAGAAGGTAATTCTGTCAAAGATTTTATTTGAATTATGGCCATTGTTCACTTTAAAAATACAGAGATTCTTGTATTGCCTTTTACTGCAAAAACTTTTTTTATTGGCAAGCAATAAAAAAGTCGAGCGCGCTGTCTTACGGACAGCTCTTGTTTTTATATACATTCACTGTTTCTAACACTCTTAAAATCGAGAAAAATACGATTTGAGTATAAATTATGGGAAGTTTACCTAAATACAAGGTGCCGTACCATAATGCTGAGCTAGGAAGTAATTAATTTCATAAAACAAAACAAAAATACTCTTCCAAAGAATAAAAACATAAACCTAGTTTATATTTTATATGTTTAATGTTTAGTATCGTTGTTTGTTTTTAATAAACATGTTTTTATAACTAATACATGTACATGTTTTTATGGGTGTCTTGATAACAAACGATTTGTGGTTCGATTTGTGAATCGTAAGTGCTGAATCGTGGTTCGGATCGGATCGTCACTTATCCAACAATCCACACCCCTAAAAATAACAGACATCTTCACAAATCTCCAAGAAAGAGCTTGTCCCTGTCAGTCCGTTTTTAATCCCGTCCATATCTGTCAATTTTGGATAGATTTTGAAATAAAATGCATTAATGTGTGGCACATAAGAAAGACCCAGGTGTGAAGCTCAATTCCTCAAGTTAGACTTGAAAGTGCTTAAAGAAAGATGTGCATTTTAGTATTCTGTCATTTAGAGATGAATTTTGAAATAGTTAAGCATAAATATACGGCCTATAACGGATTTGGAAATGATTTACTTTATATTATTACTTAATCTTCAAACAGGGATACCATAAAAATTGTTTGTTTATTGCTTATGCGCAAGAACATGTACTGGGACGTGTAATGCTTTAGAGCCAATTCAACAGTCCAAAGATCAGGGTCATGTCTATCAAGAAAGGCAATTTTGTAAAAGTTCATAAGTGGGGAACCCGGTCAACAATTTTTCATGCACGACCTGATATTTAAAAAAAAGTCTTAGTATTTCCAAAAGTAATATAGGAATCGCCATCCAGGCTAGCATTCGAATTTTTTTTCTTCATGAAATAGACTACTTTCCTGAATAATAGAGTTAAAGTTTCTTCTTGTAAGAGAAATATTCCATATGGTGTTTATCCCATAAAAGCCTCTACATACTAGTGCCGAGCTTCATGCATGAGGATAGTATTACATTAATTTTGCTTATATGTAACCAGACAGGAACATGATGGTTGAGACCCCTATGTTAGGACTTTTTTCGTCTATTTTGTTGTCATGTCATATTAAATTATCTGTTTTGATTGGCCTAGATCAGGCGGAGTTCGGGTAAAATTATTTGGATCTTGTTAATTGTACATGCCGCCGTCCTGGAACGACAATAAGTATAAATACGTGGTACTTTGAAACAATGATTGTGTCTTGAGGGAGAAAAGAATTATCGCATAAAGTAAGATTTCAGACATTAAAGGTCATATTTCATTTCATATAAATATTTTGAAGGTCAT